AACACTGACAGCATACACAATCAACGCACATCAATCCGCTATAGCACTTTTTGCGCTCAATAGTTCGGCCAGTCTCTTGGCAACTGGATCTGTTAAGGTATGCTTTTTGATAAGATATCATGTGTTTAAATTGGGATTCCCATTTTTTTAGGTGCTGAAAATGGCCATAGCCAAATGACCAAAGCCAAAGCTGTTATATTTATTAGTTTATTGAATTATCTTGAAATACATCATATTTCAGGGGACGGTGATACGGCTTTTCGACACAAAAACAACAGGGCAGTTGCGAGAATTCAGACGTGGCGCCGATCCGGCCAATTTGCATTGGTTAGTTTGTAAAATGTTTAGCTGACCAGCAGCAGCTGCACTGTTTAACAGTTCGTTTTTTCTCGTTTGCAGTGAACTGAACAAAGTGACATGCATCGTCACAGTAACAGAACAGTTTCCTCGGCTTTGATTTTACCGTATTTTCAGTTTGCGTTTTTCGCCATGTTCTAGTTTTCTGGCAGTTTCAAGCGACAAGGATACCGTGCATATTTTTGCTGTGAAAAACGATCCAAACTGGGCAAACAGGAAGACAGTGTATGTTTCTTCAAAGCGGTGAATCATTATTAAAATATATTATTAGGTGAAATAATGCGAGGCGAGAGAGGAATGACAGAGATGAAGTACAAAAGGGAGAAAAAGGACTTATCCGTGATACTTCAATATCCTGTCATCCTAGCTGGAAATTATGCTGATGCAAATAGAAGTATGTGGTGGTGCAAATCAAGTCTTGCATTATAGGACAAAATTTTTAAAAAACCAACAGAAGCTTTATTCCGCGAAAAAGTCTAGGTAGTTCAGCGTGCTACTCTGCGTGCAAATCTGTGAAAGTGTGCGTTGCGATGTAGCTTGCATGTTTATGAGAATTTCAACGATGTATTTGCTATTTTGTTTGTTTTGCAGTTGGCAGCAAGTTGGTTTCATAGCCGAAGAGACGCGCCGTGCTTGCGTACAGCTGAAACTCTCCAGAGCAACTCAGTCAGCCACTCGTACAGAATTGGCTTTTTTAACGGCCGGCATTAACGAAGCGAGTGAATTAGGCTCTACAGAATCTCTGCGAACAGCGCAAGGCCGTTGTGGTCTACGCACTTATGTATGCCGTTTGAAATTTCGTTGTTTCCATTTCTGTTAAAATGAATTTTTGATCTCCTCTGCTCATATGACACTTATTTTCATCTATTACGGTGTTAAGGGTGGGACGAAACACCGGATAGCACTGGCGAATGGAGGTCTCGAAAAAGCCGGATAATTATTAATGTTTTATGGACCGAAACATTTCAGCTTTTTTTAAAAAAATTTTTTTTTTTTTGCTTTCAATCGTTTCCTACTTGTATTATAATATTTTTTCATTGTTTCAGACTTAAAGTTTAACTAATTGAAATGGCTGGACTTTTGGGTTTTTCGTCTTTTCCCACTTGTTCTGTTCCTGAAACAGAATAGCAAAAGCCAGTTTTTAAAAAATTATGCAACTCCATTACCGGTTTCCTTTTCCTCCAGTTATGTATGTTTTTAGCTCTCCCAGACGAGCTTAGGAGAAAGGGGGGAAAGAGGAAGGGTGCTTCGTTTTTGCAGTGATGAAGACACCCGATTCATCTGCATGGGTAGATAAAGAAGCGGAAGTTTAGTTTTGAAAGACGTATAATTTTTGTCAAAGGGATGGAAAGTCTAGCCGGTAAGGAAATAGTGCATTAAAGAATAGTCAGGATGCTAAAGAAATGTATGTTACAAATTTTTATGTATAGGCATCGGAAAACCAAGGAAGAAAGGGGGAAAGAAGCGCCAAGGAACCTAAGGAGGCAAAATAGAAAGATGTTCCGTTCCAAATACTGGCTTGTATTTTCACCGCGCTCAGATATTCAACAGAGACGATGAGCTTCTTAGAATCAGAGGATCTTCTAGCCGTTTTCTTATTGTGACTTGCAGGACTGTTTTTTTTTTTTCTAATGAAAAGCTGATTTTTCAGACGATGGCGGCGATTTGTGATGACGGAAGCTATCACTTGTTTTCG